TTACTCTTCTTGAGGAATATCTTTGTGGTGTTCTCTGTATTTCCTGGACTTGAATGGTGGCCTGCCTTGCTAGGTTGGGGAAGTTCTCCTGGATAGTATCCTGAAGAGTGTTTTCCAGCTTGCACTCATTCTGTCACATTCAGGTACACCTATCAGATGTAGATTAGGCCTTTTCACATAATCCCCTATTTCTTGGAGGCTTTGTTCATTTCTTTTCACTCTTTTTTCTCTAATCTTGCCTTCTCATTTTATTTCATTGAGTTGATCTTTAATCTCTGATATTCTTTCTTCTGCTTGGTCGACTCAGCTATTGAAACTTGTGTATGCTTCACAAAATTCTTGTGTTGTGTTTTTCAGCTCCATTAAGTCATTTATATTCTTCCCTAAGCTGTTTATTCTCATTAGCATTTCATGAAACCGTTTTTCAAGGTTCCTAGTTTCTTTGCATTGGGTTAGAACATGTTCTTTTAGCTCAGAGAAGATTGTTTTTACCCACCTTCTGAAGCCTGTTTCTGTCAATTCATCAGACTCATTCTCCCTCCAGCTTTGTTCCTTTGCTGGTAATGAGTTGTGGTCCCTTGGAGGAGGAGAGGCATTCTGGTTTTGGGTGTTTTCATCCTTTTTGTGCTGTTTTATTCCCATCTTTGTGGATTTATCTGCCTGAGGTCTTTGGAGACTTTCAGATTGGATCTCTGAGTGACGTCCTTTTTTTTGATGATGTTGTTTCTTTGTTTTTTAGTTTTCCTTCTAACAGCAGGGCCCCTCTGCTGCAGGACTGCTGGAGGTCCACTCCAGACCCTGCTTGCCTGGAGATCATCTGCAGCAGCTGCAGAACAGCAAGGGTTGCTGCCCATTTCTTCTTCTGTTATCTTTATCCCAGAAGGATATCCACCAGATGTCAGCATGAGCTCAGCTTTGTGAGCTGACTATGAGGTGTCTCTTTGGATATACGGGGATCAGGGACCTACCCGAGGAGACAGTCTGTCCCTCATAGGTGCTCAAGTGCTGAGCTGTGAGCTCCGTTGTTCTGTTCAGAGCTGCTGGGCAGGTACATTTAAGTCTGCTGCAGTGGAACTCATAACCACCTTTTTTCCCAGGTGGTCTGTCCTGGGAAGGTGGGACTTTATTTATAAGTTCCTGACATCCTGCTGCCTTTTTTCAGAACTTCCCTGCCCAGCAAGGAGGTAGCCTAGTCACAGTCTACCAACAGAGGTGTTGCTGGGCTGCCATGGGCTCTGCTCAGCTGCTGTGTGAACGTTCCTTGCGTTTTGTTTATAGAGGTGTAGTTAGAACTGCCTCGGTAATGGCAGCCTGCCTCGGTAATGGCGGACTGCCTCGGTAGTGGCGAATGCCCTTTCCCCAACAGAGCTGGACCATCCCGGGTCCAGCTGTGCTTGCTGTGAAACTCTCAGTCCAGAGCGTTTCAGGTTGCTGGTCTTTGTGGGGGTGGTACTCACTGAGCCAGATCACCTGGGTCCCTGTTTCAGCCCCCTTTTTTTCACTTGAATGGGCAGCTCTGTCTCCCAGGCATTCCAGGTGCCCATTGAAATGACCGCCCAGATTTGTGTGAGTTTTTGTGTGAAGACCCGCTGCACCGGCTGAAACAGCCATGCTAGAAACTCGTGGCACTTTTCGGCCCGGGAATCTCCTGGTCTGTGAGCCGTAATAACTTGTTTGGAAATGTGATGTTCACTAACCCTCTGCGTTGTTCTCGCTGGGAAATGCACTCCAGAGCTGTTCCTATTTGGCCATCTTGGATCTGCCTCATATTATGAACATTTTAAAGACTATTGGTAGATGTTGCCAAAATACTGTCCAAAGACTTCTATTTATTGGTAAGGAGATAACATTACATTCTTATTTCTGTACAACTGTGCTAGATTTTGGTATTATTTAAAAAAAAAGTACGTTCACAACCAGGTGCAGTGGCTTACACCTGTAACCACACTACTTTGGGAGGTAAAGGCAGGTGGATAGTTTGAGCATCAGTTTGAGGCCAGCCTGGGCAACGTGGCAAAACTCTGTCTCTACAAAAAATACAAAAATAGTCAGGCATGGTGGCTTGCACCTGTAGTCCCACCTACTCAGGAGGGAGGTTGAGGTGGGAGGATTGTCTGAGTCTGGGAGGTCAAGGTTGCAGTGAGCCATGATCATGCCACTGCACTCCAGCCTGGGCAACAGAGTGAGACGCTGTCTTTAAAAAATAAAAATAAGAAAGTTTGCTAACAAAAAACTACCTCATTTTAATCCCCATCTATACTTCAGTCATTAAGAAGATTGAGAATTTTTATATAGTATTTTCTATGTTTCCTCCTTTGTGTGTGTGTGGTGGGGGTGGGGGGTACTGAGTCTTGCTCTGTTGCCCAGGCTAGAGTGCAATGGCCCGATCTCGGCTCACTGCAACCTCCACTTCCCAGGTTCAAGCAGTTCTTGTGCCTCAGTCTCCCGAATAGCTGGAATTACAGGCCCACACCACCACACTTAATTTTTGTATTTTTAGTAGAAACGGGGTTTCATCATGTTGGCGAGGCTGGTCTCGAGCTCCTGACCTCAAATGATCTGCCCCCCTCAGCCTCCCAGGGTCCTGGGATTACAGGCATGGGCCATGCGCCCAGCCTATGTTTCCTCTTGTTTTGTCAGCTCTTGTCTTTTCCCTACTTACCTCATGATGTCCTAGGGCGTTCCTTATCAGCATGTACAAATACAGACGGTGAAGCCTCTTTGCCCCACCCCAGTCATAGACGAACAGAAGCCTGATGAATTTTATCTCCCACTGGAGGGCGGCCCCTAGGGCATGGAGCCTTTGATTTCCGTCTCTGTAGCAGCCAGTCCGATAAATGTTAAATGAATGGCTGAACGATGAGTGATCACAGCAGCTTTTGGATGTCATACCTGTGGCAAGTCTTTGTCAGTTTATTTGCCTTTGAATATTTTTATGGATCAGACATAGAATCTTTGCAGTCTTTTTTTTTATTGCATTTTAGGGTTTCGGGGTACATGTGAAGAACATGCAAGATTGTTGCATAGGTACACACGTGGCAGTGTGATTTGCTGCCTTCCTCCCCATCACCTATATCTGGCATTTCTCCCCATGCTATCTCTCCCCAACTCCCCACCCCCTGCTGTCCCTCCCCTATTTCCCCCTGACAGATCCTGGTGTGTGATGCTCCCCTCCCTGTGTCCATGTATTCTCATTGTTCAACACCCGCCTATGAGTGAGAAAATGCGGTGTTTGATTTTCTGTTCTTGTGTCAGTTTGCTGAGAATGATGGTTTCCAGGTTCATCCATGTCCCCACAGTCTTTCTTGTGGTTTCTTACACTGCTTTGAGACCATGGAGGTCTCCCCCATTATGAGGTTGTTAAATATGTGACCCTATTTTCTGCCTGTTTTCCCACCGTTTGCTGTCCTACGCTACATTTTATTTCTCGTGTTTTTAATGGAAGCCAAAGCAGCTGGATGGGACCCACCAATGGCTCTTTTGAACCAAATGCCTGGGTGAACAGTCCCCTTCACCAGGGAGGGCACCTAAGGAGGTGACTCAGTACACTACACAATTTCCTATATCTGCTGCCAGTTGGCCTTCTAGAGAGAAGAATTTTTAACAGCAGGCTGAATTCCCTCTCCCAGGAAGGATGCTGTAAACACCAGTCCTCTCCTCCCAGTATGGGGCTTCCCACTAAATCAGTTAATTTTCCTCCCCCTGTCTGAGAAGGAGACTGAGCAGGAGCTTTATTTACAAAGGTTAAACATGCCTTTAATTGGATTGCTGGCATTTGAGCCCCAAGACCTCCCTTCCTTCTCCTTTGTCCCTCTCACCCATACCTGGAGAAATGCCTCTGAGAAATGCCAAGGGAATGTTTCCTTTTAATAAAGTAGTGACGAGGAGGGTCCCTTTGGAGACTTCAGTTACAGCTTTGAGCCACCACCAGCAAATACATTGACTCACAAAAGGTCCCTGGCCACTGTGTTACTGAGCAGACAAAATGCGAGAAGTCTCTGGATGGAGGAGAAGGCAGAATTTGGCAGATACATGGTCTGTTTTCCAAGAAGTGCTGTTTCCCATACTGAGATCAATGCTGTTGTCAGACACACACTCACGGTCTGACCATCTGACAGCAGTCACCGGGTCATATGTTGACTGAGAGAGAGAAGGCAGGCAACAGATAGAGAACCAGATTCATCCCTAGGTTGGCCACTGTCTAGCTTGTAACAAGGGATGTGTCACTCCCTCACCAGACCTAAGTTCCCTCCCATCTCTGATACCCCTCTGTCCCTCCTTTCTTTCCAGATTAATCATGCTGATAGGTACATGATATCCACAAAGGAAAGGCATGAATCTGAGAATTTATATTTCTGACAAGTTCCAAGGTGATGCTGAGGCTGCTGGCCAGGAAAAAAAAAAAGGAAATTGACTGCACTGACTCATCTAAGGTGCCTTTGATTCTTCCTTATGAGATCCAATTAGCACAAGCTCATCAGTGTAAACCACTAATATAAAGTTGTGTGGCCAGGTGTGGTGGCTCACAACTGTAATCCCAGCACAGGGATGTGCACATTCAGAGTTTCCTCTATGAGATGATTAGGTTGACTCAAAAGCCTACATTCCTTGTATTCATGTTTGTTTGGTTGGTTTTTTTACCTTTTATTTTAGTTTCAGGGGTACATGTGCAGATGTGTTATATAGATAAACTTGTGTCATGGGGATTTGTTACACAGATTATCGCATGACCCAGACACTAAGCCTAGTACCCATTCTTTATCTTTTCCGCTCTTTTCCGTCCTCCCACCCTCCACCCTCGGTAGGCCCCAATGTGTGTGGTTCCCTTCGTGTCCATGTGTTCTCACCATTAAGCTCCCGCCTGTAAATGAGAACACGTGGTATTTGGTTTTCTGGTCCTGCATTAGTTTGCTAAGGATAATGGCCTCCAGCTCCATCCATGATTCAGCAAAGGGCAGGATCTTGTCCTTTTTTATGACCGAGTATTCCGTGGCGTAGAGGTACCACATTTTCTTTATCCAGGCTCCCATTGATGGGCACTTAGGTTTCTTCCACGTCTTGGCTATTCTGAACAGTACTGCAATGAACATACTTGTGCATGTGTCTTTAAGATAGAATGACATGTATTCCTTTGGCTGTTTACCCAGCAACGGGATTGCTGGGTCAAATAGTAGTTTTGTTTTTACCTCTTTGAGGAATTGCCACACTGCTTTCCACAATGGTTGAACCAGTTTTCCCTTTAACTCACAGTGTATGAGCATTCCCTTTTCTCCACAGCCTGGCTAGCATTTGTTCTTTTTTAGCTCTTTAGTAATAGTCATTCTGGGATCAGGCATAGTGGCTCACCCCTGTAATCCCAGCACTTTGGGAGGCCAAAGTGAGTGGATTACTTGAGATCAGGGGTTCGAGACCAGCCTGGCCAACATGGGGAAACCCCATCTCTACTAAAATCACAAAAAAATAGTCAGGCTTGGTGGCGGTGCCTGTAACCCCAGCTACTCAGGAGGCTGAGGCAGGAGGATCACTTGAACCCAGGACATGGAGTTTGCAGTGAGCCCAGATCTCATCACTGCACTTCTGCCTGGGTGACAAAGCAAGAGTCTGTCTCAAAATACTATTACTAGTAATGGCCATTTTCACTGGTGTAAGGTGGCATCTCATTGCAGTTTTCATTTGCATTTTTCTTTTTCTTTCTTTCTTTCTTTTTTTTTTTTTTTGAGAGGGAGTCTCGCTCTGTCGCTAGGCTGGAGTGCAGTGGCGTGATCTTGGCTCACTGCTACCTCCACTTCCCGGGTTCAAGGGATTCTCCTGCCTCAGCCTCCAAGTAGCTGGGAGTACAGGCATGTGCCACCATGCCTGGCTAATTTTTGTATTTTTAGTAGAGACAGGGTTTCGTCATGTTGGCCAGGATGGTCTCAATCTCCTGACCTCGTGATCCGCCCACCTCGGCCTCCCAAAGTGCTGGGATCACAGGTGTGAGCCACCGTGCCTGGCCTAATTTGCATTTTTTAATGATCAGTTAGTTTTTGTAGAGACAAGGGTGGGAGTTGGTGGAGAGAGGTGTAGGTCTCATTATGTTACCCAGGCTGGTCTCAAACTCCTCGCATCAAGCAATCCTCCCACCTCAACCTCCCAAAGTGCTGGGATTACATGTATAAGCCACCATGCCTGGCCACTCAAATAGTTTCTGATGCAATAGGTCTGAGGTAGGATCTGAGAATTTATATTTCTAACAAGTTCCCAGGTGATGCTGATGCTGCTGGCCAGGAAAAAAAAAAAGGAAGTTGACTGCACTGACTCATCTAAGGTGCCTTTGATTCTTCCTTTTGAGATCCAATTAGCACAAGCTCACCAATGTAAAGGAATAATATAAAGTTGTGTGGCCAGGTGTGGTGGCTCACACCTGTAATCTCATCACTTTGGGAGGCCAAGGTGGGTGGATCACCTGAGGTCAGAAGTTCGAGACCAGCCTACCCAACATGGCAAAACCTCATCTCTACTAGAAATACAAAAGTTAGCTATGCATGGTGGTGCCTGGCTGTAATCCCAGTATCAGGAGGTTGAGGCAGGAGAGTCATTGGAACCTGGGAGAGGGCGGTTGCAGTGAGCTGAGATTGCATCACTGCGCTAAGGTCCAAATGACGAGAGTGAGAGTCTGTCTCAGAAAATAAAAATTAATAAATAAAGTTCTGTGGTACCTCAGGACGACCAGGACCTCTCCAGACTGTTACATCAGCGATCAGAAAAGTCCATACATGTCCGAGATAAAACCGCGAAGCTATACTACTGCCCTTGTCATGCAAAAGCAACCAACCTATTATTATTTTCACTGATAAAGACAGAAAAAAAAAGTTTTGTGGATCCACATCTGTGTAACAGGTACTGACTCTATCTGAAAGACTCTCCTAAATTGGAATTTCTACTTTGTTACATTTATGATAAACCAGTCCTTGAACCCGGGAGGTGGAGGTTGCTGTGAGCTGAGATCGCATCACTGCACTAAAGCCTGGATGACAAGAGTGAGACTCTGTCTCAATAAATAAATAAATACAGAAATAGCTCTGTGGTACCTCAAGATGATCAGGACCTCTCCAGATGGTTACACCAGTCATCCGAAAAGTGATCGCTTTTCTGACAGAAAAGCGGTCTGTCCACCTTCTGCATGGACCAAACAGAAGAATTCAATGGGGCTCTGCTAGCATCACCATCCAGAAGCTCTCAAGTGTTTTAGGGTGACATTAGTGGCTGCTCTTCCCCCAGGATGACCACATTCCTTTGAGTTACCAGGAAGGAAGGGGAGTGCTGAGGACCTCGACTTGTTTCTTTCTGTCATAAGACCCTCCACTCCATGGGTCAGAAAACCCATGTGGGAACTCTCCAGTACTACGTCTGGTTTATACTGAAATATCAAAATAATGAAATAGATTAGTCCCAGTTATTCACTCCCTTTGCATAGAATTTTATAACCTCTCCCTTGTTGGAGCCTAGTCACGGACAAATTGTACTTTCCCACTTCCTGAACTTGAACTTAATAACAAAAAGGAAAACAACCCAATATAAAATAGGCAAAAAAACTTCAGCAGACATTTCACAGAAGATGATGGTATTCGTGACCAACCAGTTCAGGGAAAAGTGTTCAACTTTTTTTCATTTTTTTGAGACAGAGTCTCACTCTGTCACCCAGGCTAAAGTGCAGTGGTGGGACCTCAGCTCACTGCAGTCTCCGCCTCCTGCGTTCAAGCGATTCTTGTGCCTCAGCCTCCTGAGTAGCTGGGATTACAGGTGCCCACCATTACACCAGGTTTGAATTTTGTATTTTTAGTAGAGATGGGGTTTCACCATGTTGGACAGACTGGTTTCGAACTCCTAACCTCAAGTGAGCCACTTGTCTTGGCCTCCCAATGTGCTGGGTTTACAGGCATGAGCCACCGCGCCTGGCCTGTTCAACAATTTTTAAAACCTCAGTAGAATGGCTAAAATTATACAGACTAGCAACAGTAAATATTGGCAAGAATGTGGAGAAACTAGACCTCGGTGGTGAGGGTAGAAAATTGGTGCAACCAGTCTGGAAAACCCGTATTCTCTTGTCAAGTTAAAAATACATTTCTCCCATGACCCAGCAATCCCTGTCTTAGATATTTACCGCAAGAAATTAAAGTGTAAGACTGCTAAAAGCTCTACATGAGAATGTTCACAGCAGCTTTTTAAATGTAATAATCCAAATTGAGGACAACACAGGTTATTGTGTCAAAAAGGAACAAAGGTAGGCTTTGTGAATACCCTTTGCTTCCAGGATAGTCAACACAAATGTTCATTAGTAGGAAAATTGTTATGAAAATTGTGCTTACGCATATATTATTTAGCAATAAAAAAAGAACAAATGACCACTACATACAACTACATAGAGGAATATTAACATTATGTTGAAAAATGGAAGCTGCAGAGAGTAGATGGTATTCTGTGTGATGTTATGTATACATGAGGTTTGAGAACTGGCAGAACTATGATGAGAGGCAGCACAAGGGTTGCCTCTGAGGATTGGAAATTGACTGCAGGGATGACATCAAGAAATTTACTGGTGTTACTATCCTTATGTCTTCTATCTTGAGTATTAGTTAAACCTGCGTATACAATGGCAAAATTCGCTAAATTGTCAGCTTAATATTTGTGTATTTCACTCTACATAAACTTTAACCTGAGTTTTTAAAAATGCAAAAATGGGTTCAATGCGGGATAAAGACAAGACCACTATTCCCTCATTTGTTGCCTTTGTACAAATGAGACAAAAGAGATCCTCCTAGGAAGATGCAACCCAGTGGGCACGTGGCTTAGCTCTGAATAAGAGCAGTCTCTCTGCAGATTAGCAAAAGGTATCTCTTTCTCCAGGGGATGGCTGAGCACAGCTTGGATTTCAGCTTCCACTCACTCCCTCATGCCAGTGCCCTTGTGTAGGATACACAAGGACGGGTGGATCACTTGAGGTCAGGAGTTCGAAACCAGCCTGTCCAACATGGCGAAACCCCGTCTCTATTTAAAATACAGAATTAGCCGGGCATGGTGGTACATGCCTGCAATCCCAGCTAATCAGGAGGCTGAGGCAGGAGAATTGCTTAAACCTGGGAGGCAGAGGTTGTAGTGAGCCAAGATTGTGCCACTGCACTCCAGCCTGGGCAACAAGAGCAAAAACTCCATCTCAAAAATAAATAAATAAATAAATAAGCTGGGTATGGTGGTACACACCTGTAGTCCTGGTAAGTCTGGAGGCTGAGGCAGGAGAATCACTTGGATTCGGCAGGTGGAGATTGCTGTGAGCCGAGATCACCCCACTGCACTCCAGCCTGGTGACAAAGCGAGACTCTGTCTCCAAAAAAAAAAAAGACAATTTAAAAGGGTCCTATGAAATGCACCTAACTTTTTTCAAGTGTCCTATGAAAAGCACCTAACAAATAAAAGGAAGGTCAATAACACCTGGAGAGTAATTTTAATAATAGACATTTCAAAGACGAGGCATAATTGAAAGCAGTAGGTGGGCTACACAGAAGTTACCATAAGCTGGCTGTGAGCTGGGCTGTTTCACCTTCTCTTCGCAAAAGCAAAAGAAAACAGCTCACAAGTAGGGAACAAAAAAATGATGGAGGAATTACATAGATCTTTGGGTTGGTTAATATGCAATTACTTTGCCACATAATATATCAGTGCTTGATTTATTTCCAATTGGCCAGTTTATTTTCTGTGAATGATGAGTTGATTATAACTCTACTAAAAGAACCTTCCCTTTATATCACTGTAATCAAATGCAGGAGAAACTTTGAATTATGTGGTGATTTTTCAGTGGCTTATTAAAAAAAAGTGGGCCCTACTCCTTTCATGCCGAGATGTAGAACTTTATAAGCTTTGCTGTGGTTTAAGAATACATTGGATGCTACTAGGCAGATATTTTTTGCTCTGTAATAGAGCAAATCACCTTTTGTGTGTGTGTATGTGGGTTGAAATATGTGTTGTCAATATTAATATCTGCCAAATGAGTGGCCTCTCTTTGTTATGCTAAAGTGTGGGATAAAACTCTTAAAAAATAGAAT